CCCACCGTGCCGAGCTTTCCTTACCAAACACATTCCCCTTGACGACCGAATAGATATTGAACAGGCTGTAATCGCCCTTGGCCAACCCTGCACCTGCCGTCTTGAGCAACTCTTCGATATCCTGGTTATCGATCGTAAACTTGGAGCCCGTCTCCTCTTCGGCGATGGCGAGGATCTCGTTTTGGGAGACGAAAAAGTCGTGGACACGGACGTCAGTGTTGGTGTAGGATTTGGGGTTGGCAACGAGATAGACTACGGTGCGCGCGATACTGTCGAGGGTGGTAGCGTTGATCTTGTCGTTACCTCCGCTCCAGATGGTGGCCTTGCGATTTGGGAAATCGAACCCGAGGAATTCGTGTTTCAAACCTGAGATTTCGTTGAGATTATGTCCTACATTAGCTCTGAAGAAGACACTTACCCCAGTCAAAGAATGGGCCGGTTGTGACGAGAGTATATTCGATGAGGCCAGCCTCGGCTTTCTCTCGAAGGTATGCCGCAGTGTTGAGCTTTGCGCTGAAAATCTGGTGCTGGTTACCTGGAGGGTTTACCAAGTCACTATACGCTAGTGAGCATGAAATAACAGAGTAAAGCTGGAATTCACTTACTTTCCGTACTCGCTTGGGATTACCTTCTTAACGCCAGCTTCGATAGCGGCGTCGATGATGAGCTTCGAGTTTTGCTCCAGCGTAGACAAGTCGCCGAGGGTGATTAGTGCAATTTCATTGCCTCGAAGAGCATCGACGAGCTGCTGCTTGTCGTTGTAGTCGATTTTAGCGACTTTGACTGGATGTGTTGAATAATATTAGTAAATAGGTTATCGGTAAAGGGTAGGCGGCATACCAGATGGATCTGAAGTTGTGAAAGACGACGTTGTGCGAGCTACAACTGTAATATCGAATTTCTGCTCCCTAACAAGAGCATCGAAAACTGGAGTCCCGAGGTTTCCAGCAGCCTAGAGTCCAGGCAAGTCAGTCGACCGCCAGAATCAGCATGAAGCAGATCTATTCACGTACGCCGAGTTGAACAACTTTGGTTCGAGACATGATTGAGAGTCGAGCGAGTAATTGATTGGAAGTGGTTGGAATGGTTGGGGTCCTCCGAGCTCGAAGCAGCCCTCTTATATACGGCGACTAGACCTATTCTTGTCTTTAGGTGGT